ACCTTGGTCATGCCAGATGAAACCAGGCCATTTGCTCTCGAATGCGACACCTCGAAGTTTGCTACTGGCAGTGTCCTGCTACAGAGTGATGCAAACGGAGACTTGCACCCCTGTGGCTTCATCTCCCAGTCCTTGAACCCCGCCGAACGGAACTATGAGATCTACGACCGCGAACTCCTCAGCATCATACGCGGTCTGGAGACCTGGAAACACTATTTCCTAGGTAGCCCGCACAAGCTCCAAATCCGCTCGGACCACCGTAACTTGACCTACTGGCGCACCGCGCAGAAGCTCAATCGACGACAAGCACGATGGTCGCTGTTCCTCAGCGAATTCGACTATGAACTGGCACACGTCCCTGGAACGCAAATGACCATCGCCGACCTTCTATCCCGACGCAGTGACCATGATACCGGGGCTGATGACAACGACGACATCGTGATGTTAGCCCCCCAGCTCTTCGTGCGAGCCATCAACGCGGACCTCCTTGATCGCCTACGAGACTGCCATGAAAAGGAACCCATGGTAAAGGAGGCCTTCGATGCTCTCCTTGGCAAAGGACCTGCACCTGCGAAGACCTCGCTTCCGGATTGGCAGACGGACGGAGACCTGGTATGGTATCAATCACGAGTGTATGTTCCTCCGGATGCGGGACTCCGACGGAACGTGGTACGCTTGTACCACGAGCTCCCCTCCGCAGGTCATCCGGGCATCCACAAGACGACCACCCTCGTGCAACGCGACTTCTGGTGGCCTGGAATGGGACAATTCATCGCACAATACGTCAAGGGATGTGGGATCTGTCAGCAGATGAAACCAAACACGCATCCCACAGTGACTCCTCTCATCCCAATCCCGCCACAACACCCCGCCACACCGTTCTCATGCCAAACAATGGACTTCATCACCGCACTCCCTGAGACTCCCCGCGGACATAATGCTATTTATGTCGTGGTGGACCACGACTCTACGAAGGGGGTAATTTTCATCCCATGCACGGACCAGGTGGACGCCGAAACAACCGCCAAGATGAACCACGACCACGTGTACCGACGCTTCGGACTCGCACGCAAGTTCATCTCCGATCGCGGCCCTCAGTTCGCATCCAAGGTCATGGGAGAACTCTGCCGCCTGACCGGAATTGAACGCGCACTGTCCACGGCGTACCACCCCCAGACTGACGGCCAGACGGAACGAGCCAACCAGGAACTCGAGATATTCCTCCGAATCTTCTGCGCGAACAATCCTGAAACATGGGACGAGATGCTCCCTGACGCCGAGTTTGCGCACAACTCCCGACCTCATTCCGCCATCAAGATGTCGCCATTCTACGCAATGATGGGATATGAACCCCGAGGAATCCCCCACATCACCGAAGTTGCTGACTCCCCAACCACGGAAGAATGACTCAAGCGGCTGCAGAAAGCCCGAGAAGAAGCCGCTTTCGCACTAGAAGCTGCGCAACGAGTCATCAAGAAGAGAATCAAGGACCGCACGCCTGCCTTCAAGAAAGATCAGCAGGTATGGCTCAACATGCGGCACCTCCGCCTCCCTTACGCCACGAGGAAACTAGCTCCTAAGAAGGAATGTCCTTTCAAGATCACCGAGGTCATGGGAAGAGCGACGTATCGCCTCAAACTGCCTCCGCAATGGCGAATCCACCCTGTATTCCACGCCGGTCTCCTATCCCCGTACAATGAGACCGAGGAACACGGCCCGACCTATACAGAACCTCCCCCGGATGAAGTAGACAGAGAAAACTCCTGGGAATTTGAAGCTATCCTTGGTCACAAGGGAACGGCAAGCCGACACCGCTACCTCGTGAAGTGGAAAGGGTACCCTCCCAGTGAGAACTTGTGGGAACCCGAAGACATCTTCCTGGGCACAGGGGAAGAGACCCTTGATGAGTACAAGCGCGCGCACCATCTCCGACTCCTCTACGAGTATAAAGAGAAGAGTCGTCTCGGAGTGGTGAGACTTGGACCCCAAGACGACAACACTTGCAACTGCTGAGTTGAGCTCTATGCCCTCCACCGCTGCCTATGACGACCTTTCTCTCAAGGCTTACTACGACGCGTGGGTCATCACCCAGCTCCCCTATCTCGGCCTGAACCGCAAGCAACGTCTCCCACTTGACCCCCGTTACCACCTCTGTGACAAATGCCGCATCAGGAAAAACCTCCCAGGCCATAGCCCCCAGCCACATATCTGTAGAGCTTCATGGCCGCGATAGCAAGACGCAGTGACCATAGATACCTCCATAGCTAATGTAGCTCATGATAGCATTCAGAACGCACCTCATAGCTCTCCGTATGCACTGAGAGCACGGGGCCTTGTCTCAGTAGGGTACATTGAACACACACCTTTGATAACCATCGTAGTAGGCTAGTCTACAACGTACATTCATATTGTACCAAGGAAACCTATTGTACGTCAAGCTAATCCACGTGCGGCTCCGAGTCGCGCTCCAGCTCGAGTACAAGTGCGCGGCTGAGGCTCACAGTCATGCAACATCTGCCAGCGCGCACCGTGTCCTCTACGTTGCCGGTCTCCGACATTCTGGTGGTACTGCGGTGGGCTCAAGGCGCCTTCGAATCCGTAGATCCCTGCTTCACTGGGGGCCCCTCAGATGCAACGGGCTCCTCAGCTTTGGCGTTGTCGAGCAATTCCCGGAGACCAGCGTCTCACTCGACAGATTCGTCGTCCGGCACGTCCGCATTGGTGGCGACGCCGAGCACGAGGGGGCGCACCAGTTTGATAAACGCAAGGGGTTGTGCGATGGCAAACTCGCACATTCATGAGCGGACCATACCCATTCCTAACGGTACACCCGGGCTGCATATTCCCCATTGTCAACGGAAACCCGACGCCGGCCGGAGAAATGTGTCCGGAGGTTGCAAACCCACCGGCCGGCACCTGAGGTGCCCATTGTTAGCAGACTGGCCGGTCTTGTTTTGAACGGTGTCAACAGGTAAAGTGTTTCCTCTGCGTTCGCTGGGTGTTTAGATGTACACCGAGCTATTACAGTTGTTCAAGGGGAAAATGCTGAGGTTCCAGATCAAGGGTTGGTGGGTAGAAGGTTGGGGAATATTTATAAGATTTTACTGAGTTTATTGGAACAGAGATCTTGCCTAGACACAGAGTTCTGAGATGGTACTTCCAGGTGAAGTAGCACTCAGAGAGGATGATAGCACTTACTAGCAATGCTATTGGACAAACTACAAGCAAGTTAATAACTGGAGTAACAATCTACAAGATGAGGTCCCACACTGTGTGAGATACTGCCTCAAATAGTAATTGCTGACTCAGACTTTCTCACACCAGCTGTATGAGAGTAAACTGGCTCTAGAATTTTCATGTCCCTGGCCTGCAAGATGCATGGCCTTATATACAGGTTCTGAACTGCTTTGTCAGCAGCTGAGTAAGGCATCTAGTAAGGTAGGATGTGTCAGATACTGTATCCCACCAATCAGATCCCATCATGTGGTCTCTAGCTGCCCAATCAGCAAAATCGCTCCGTGTGGTCTGATCTGAGTCTATTTGTCATCCTCCTAGTGTGCTGACTGAGCACATTACCAACCAGCTTACCAATCCTATCCCTTTGTGCTGACGAAGCATCAGAAACGACTCAGCCCTGCTGAGTATCAGCTTCTGAATCTAAGCGCTCAGCTGACTTGTGGCTGAGTTCCAATCTGAATCTCTGTGGCTTCCCAAACATGTGCACGCTGTGCCACGTCACTTCAACCGCACACTCACACACGCATACACCCTACACGCCCAACCATTCTTACATCATCTTATGTCTGGAATCACCGCTGCCAACGTCTGGATTGCGTACATGCGCCGGCGTTTCCCACAGCTCCGTGTGGATCTGCCGCTCCATGCCATGTGGCCATTGTACGTCCAAGGTCTTCTTTTATCTCTTCTTGGTTACTCATTTTTGTCCAGCATATTCCACGCCTCTTGGCTCCTCGAAGGTCCCGACTACAGGGAGTTTACACATGCCTGGATGAATGCCCAAGGCAACAGTATCATCATGCACACGCGCATCGAGGTGGTCTCAACTCGAGCGGACAATGGGACGGGGCCGGAGGAGGCGTTGGGGGAACTGTCGGAGGAGGCGTTGGCCACTATCCAGCGGTTTGATGAACATTGTACTCAGTGGGAGCGGGAACACGGCTACTGAGGGGTGCATGTATTCGTTCCTTGCTTTCCTTTTGTAGTCCCAATGCTATCATGCTTTCGTTGCAATTCTGTCCTGAATTTACTTCTGATTCTCGTCCCACAATGTGGACGCGTGACAACGGACCGGCCGATGGCAGGGAAAATCAACAAGTGTTACTGAACAATGGTCCGGAATTTAATCTATGGTTGTAAATGGACCGGCCGGAGATTGGCAACCACATTTATAACACTCCAGCAGGATTTCATCCCTGTGTTTGGAAATGGTCCGGCCGGAATGCATCCCTATGGTTTCAAATGGTCCGGCCAAAGGTCATATACCTTTGTTTATGATGTACCGGCCGAAGGTAATATATCTAAATTAATAACACACCGGCCAGAGGTGATATACCTACATTGAGAAAGAACCGGCCGGTCATAATGTACCCACGCACAAAACAAACCGGCCGGCCATGACATAGTTTCACTACACATTGACCGGCCAGGCATAGCATGCCTATATTAGAAATGAACCGGCCGGTCATATGGAGCCTGAATATCAATTGCTCCCACCATCCTGGAAACATATTCATTGATGCACTGAGTTTTCTGGACCATAAATGCACTGGACCCAGGTTTTTTGGGCTTTGAATACATTTTTAGCATCCCCATAGATGCTCCCAATTTTCCAGGCACATGCAAACCATTCCAGAGCTTTGGAATCATCAAAATTGAGCTTTCTGGGCTGAAAATAGACCAAAACCAGCCTTTCTGGGCTGGAAATGCATCAGAACACATTTATTGAGCCTCCCAATCCACATTTACAACAGCTCTGAGCCTTATACACCAGGTCCAAGTATTTTACACAATTGCCGAGATTCCACAAAGTCCCGGCGCCGAGGATGCACCAAGTCCCGGCGCCGGGGGTGCACCAAGTTGCGGCGCCGCACCGTCTCGTTAAGCGCCGAGAAACATCGCTCGGCGCCGAGGGGTGCACTTGCTTCGGCGCCGAGACTTGGTGCACCTGCGGCGCCGCAACTTGGTGCACCTGCGGCGCCGCGACTTGGTACTACCTCGGCGCCGAGTTGTGCTAAACCTGAGGAATAATGGTGTTTCTAACAATGATCACAAAAAGATTACTGATGTTTGTTACACCAATGACCTTTTGTAGCTCATCTTATAGGGAATGTTAGGTTCATTAGGAAATCTCCTAATGACACTACAAAGGTTTGTATGTGGTTACTTATAAAAAGTGATGTTTGTGTCTCATTGTGTAGGGAATGGTCTGTTGATAAGTAAATCTTCTATTGACACTTCAAGGATTCTCAACGGTTAGGCCAGTACAGCTGCTTTTCCTGTTCCGGCTGGTAAGTAAACTCACTAATGACACTACAGTGTGTTGTATTTAATTAGTACATAATGAAATTAAGACAAAGGAACACTGTAGGAACAAGAGGTTGATTATCACAAAAGAATACATCATAGTTACAACCCTGCATCAAGGTTGAACTGTCTAGCATTTACAGAAAAGTCAGTGAGTTCCAAATGTAGGCTGTAGCAGAGCAATGTACCTAGGACCACATGTGTTAATTCTATAGAATGTCTCATATTCATCTGGGATTGGTTTCTACATACAGATATATATGTAGGGTGTGGCCATCATGATCATAGCAGAATGTATGAGGATAAATGAAACATGTATCAGCAACCCATCCATACATGACTTGATGAATGTACTTGTTCATCTGGACACATGTTGGCACAAAAGTTGTACATAAAGGCAACAACTTATCACTTCAGAGACATATCACTAATTGTGCATGTCCCTGCTCCCCTCTTACTCTCCTCACCATGGCAGTATTCTTTGCCCACATTAGGTTAGTGGCTATAATGTATGTTCATACAGCCAGCAGCACATATGCCAAATCGCATAGCTTAATCTTCCAAGCTGTAAGTGCTACCAACTTTAGTGTGGGCGCTAGATCAGCCAGAAGTTGTCATAGTACTACACATTTGTAATGTAGTGTTCTGTCTACTGTACAATAACAACAGCATGAGATGTACACATCCTTGTAGTCTCATCATAATAGTTGCTTATCAACCTAATGTTCCCCACAAGATGAGATACAAATATGTGTAGTGCTATCAATAAGCTTACTTACTGGCTGAACAAGAAAAGCTGCTGTACTGGCCTAAGCATTGAAAATCCTTGAAGTGTCAATAGAAGATTTACTTATCAATAGACTATTCCCTACACAATGAAATATAAACCTCACTTTTTATAAGTAACCACATACAAACCCTTGTAATGTCATTAGAAGATTTACTAATGAACCTAACATTTCCTATAAGATGAGCTACAAATGTACAAATTGAATACAATATACTGTAGTGTCATCAGTAAGTTTACTTACCAGCCAGACAAGAAAAGCAGCTGTACCGGCCTGACCATTGGAAATCCTTGAAGTGTCAATAGAAGATTTACTTATCAACAGACCATTCCCTACACAATGAGACACAAACATCACTTTTTATAAGTAACCACATACAAACCTTTGTAGTGTCATTAGGAGATTTCCTAATGAACCTAACATCTCCTATAAGATGAGCTACAAAAGGTCATTGGTGTAACAAACATCAGTAATCTTTTTGTGATCATTGTTAGAAACACCATTATTCCTCAGGTTTAGCACAACTCGGCGCCGAGGTAGTACCAAGTTGCGGCGCCGCAGGTGCACCAAGTTGCGGCGCCGAAGCAAGTGCACCCCTCGGCGCCGAGCGATGTTTCTCGGCGCTTAACGAGACGGTGCGGCGCCGCAACTTGGTGCACCCCCGGCGCCGGGACTTGGTGCATCCTCGGCGCCGGGACTTTGTGGAATCTTGGCGATTGTGCAAAACACTCGGACCTTGTGCAGAATGCTCAGACCTGTTGTAAATATGATTTAGGGAGCTAAACACATGTGCAAGAATAGCCTTTGAAGCAATTCCAGCCTGGAAAACCTGGATCTGGTCTGTTTCCAGGCTAGAAAAGCTCATTTATGGTGCTTTTGAAGCATGGGCATGGTTTGTATGTACCTGATAAAATTGGGAGCATGTAAGGGAATGCTTGTCAATGTATTCCAAGCCCAAAAAACCTAGGTCCAGTGTGTTGATGGTCCAGAAACCTCAGTGCATCTTTGACAATGTGTTCTGGGATGTTTGGCACAATTATCATTCAGATTCCATATGACCGGCCGGTTCATTTCTAATGTAGGTTTGTTATGACTGTCCGGCCCATGTGTAGTGTAAGTATGTCATGCCTGGCCGGTCTGTTTTTGGTGTAGGTAGACTATGACCAGCCGGTCCTTTTGCAATGTAGGTATATGACCTCCGGCCGGTATGTTATAAATGTAGGTACATGAACTCTGGCCGGTGCATTATAAGTCAAGGTATATGAGCTCTGGGTGGTGCATTGATAATGTGAATGTATGAGCTCCGGCCGGTGCATCAATGATGTGGGTATATGAGCTCCGGCCGGTCTGTTATTAATGTGGGTATATGAGTCCTGGCCGGTCTGTTATAAATGTAGGTGCCTGATCTCTGGCCGGTCCATTTACAACCATAGATTAAATTCCGGACCATTGTTCAGTAACACTTGTTGATTTGCCCTGCCATCGGCCGGTCCGTTCAAAACAAGACCAGCCAGTCTGCTAACAATGGGCACCTCAGGTGCCGGCCGGTGGGTTTGCAACCTCCGGACACATTTCTCCGGCCGGCGTCGGGTTTCCGTTGACAACGGGGAATATGCAGCCCGGGTGTACCGTTAGGAACGTAAAAGTACACTCATTGGGCTCAAACTCGTCGTTGGGAACTGGGTTGAGAAGGGTGAGCTGGCGCGTCCGGACGAGGGCGGAAGGCGCGAGGATGGACAGTCGAGGGTGTTCCATTTGCAAGAAGTGGCTGTGACAGGGGAAGCAGAAGTGAAGCATGCGCCCTCGACAGATTCAAGAATGCGGATGTGTGGGAATACACGCTGGAGGACGTCAAGTGCGGGGTCATCTCTGCCGAGAATGACAGTAGTGAGACGGCCACAGCAGGCAAGGGCATTGGCAATGGATGGGTACGCGTCCACGAGCTGGGTGAGGCTCCAGAAACGATTCCACCGACGCAGGGCTCGCCACGGTCGGTATGCCCATCAGCGGGCTGCCCGCGAGGGGACTGCCCACCAGGACGTCAAGGGCCGCAACGTTCTCCGACTCGGACTCGAGCGTCGTGAGCCAATTAAGTGACGAGCGGTCATCAATGAGCACGGGCCGCCGCTGGCGCTGGCACGTCGCAACGGAGCTCACAGAATCGGAGTGGCTCCGCATGTGGTCGAAGGACTCAATGAGCGCGGGGGACTTGGATGTGCGCGGCAGCGAGGAGAGCTGCTGAATGGCTGCATTGGCTTGAGGTTCGACATGAGCGGGATCTGGCCTTTACAGGTTACCAGGGGCGGCTCGTCAGGCAACGGTGATTCTAGTTCGTCCCCGGTGAGGGGGAGACGTCGATGTCGGGCTCGGAGTGCGTGTCGTTGATGCCTTTGTGGGGAGGGTCAAGGAGGCTGAAGAGCGAAGCCGCACCTGCCCGGTTCTGGCACTCATGCAATCATCATGACACGACTGCGATCTTGTACATCACGACTTGCTCGATGTGCACGCAATCATTTGGACACGGACATCCGCCGCGCGCGGAAGGGCCCACAACGGTGGTTGTCCCAGTTGGCACCCAAGGCGCATAGGACGTTTGTATGACGAGTGGGCCGACCCAGAAGTGCGGTCGAATGATGAACAGACGGCGGGAGTCGGTGCTGAAGGCGAGGTAAGCAGAGCGATCAAACACGAGACGTGGTCACTTACCCGCAGCGTGTTCGCACGTTACCTCCAACGACCTGAGCACCCCTTGATCGCCTCCTGCAATTGGCATGCTCACGATGCTTGCTGTGCCAGGAATGATCCCTCCGAGTCGGAGACAGCCTCTTTGAGCCCACCGAGCTTTCCAGGCCCGTATATTCTGGACTATCACGCGCAGACTCAGAGTAATCCCGCTGATGCATTGTCCTTCGCGTCTGGGGATTTGTCGGATGTGGAAAGTCGTGGACAGAGCGCGAGCTGGCGAGAGCGAGAGCGCGAACGCGAGACAACGCATCAGGAAAACTACATGTTGCTTCATCTGTCTTAGGCGGCTTTGCGTGGCTTTGCACGGCTTGACAACTGACTTTGTGTGCTTAGCAGTCTTAGACTACTTACTGTTTGCAGGTTGTTACTACACCGAAGACAGGCTAAGCCAGTAAGCATGATTAAGCACTATTCTAAGCACTATTCTAAGTACACATGATTTCTACGTAAACTAAGTCGTCTGAAGTACCATAAAGGCAATGGCCGAGTCGAACTTACATGTCCCAAGTTTCGACGCATAGGCGCAAATAACCAGGCCCAGGCATAGCGTACTGCACAATGCTCTGCGCGAGCCTTCACACATTGCGAGTAACAATTCGTGTCTACGCGTGCTCGTTAACAACATACCTGTGTCCTTCCCCGCCGCCGTATGCAAATTGCGCGGTGGCAATGATCCCTGCAATGTTGCGAGAGAAGCGAGAGCTCGTTAATCGGGTAAAGGACGGGGGCGCGCGCGGAATGGGGTGGGAGGGCAAACAAGAAGAGAACCTGGGATGCTCACCAGTATCCGGTTGTTCTGCCTCGTCCCCGCCCCCTCTGTCCGTGCTCCAGTCGGTGATCTATGCCGTTGGGCATAGATCGCGCGGCGGCACTTGCTAGCCGGGCCACATCGCAGTGACGTGGCCTTCCCGCGCGGTATTCAGCACGTTTGAGGCGTGCCTTGCTGGCAGATTGTGAGGCGGCAGGCTTGCGACGGCTCGGGGACGCGTGACGAGGCAGAGAGGAGGCGGGGAGGAGGGCGGGGAGAGGCGGTGGAGGCTGGTGCAGGTCGCGAAAGGAGAGGTCGCGAAGCGGCGCTGAGCGCAACACGTCAGCGCGGCACGTGACCGATTCGGTGTCCGCCGAGAGCAGGTCTCTCGACGCTCCAAGTCCAACTTACCTTGTTGCGCTGGCCTGCTCCCCGCCTTGTCCCCGCCCAGTGCTCGCCCCTCCCCTTTCCACTCCCTCTCAACACGCCCTCGTTCACCCACCCTCTGCTGATCTGCCACAACGAACGCGAGACGCAACAAGCGCAAACGCGGCCGGTCGATCATGAGACCGGCCCAATCTGCGCTCTCGAACGTGCGCTGTGACACGCGCTGCTCGCCCGCGTCTCAAACGTGACCAAGAGTTTGGAAAAAGGCGAGCAGCCCGCACGCACCTCTCCAGACGGGCGGCTGTACGAGCAGGCGGGAGGAGGTGAGTGAACGAGGGGGTGGGTGGATGTGTGAGAAGTTGATCAAAAACGGCCGGGTGGTTGAGCAGGTGAGCAGACAGTAGGCGTGAGCGCAGGTGCGGGTGAGCGGTGGTGGGCACAGGATGCAGCCGCACCAAGAGGACAAGACACGCGCAAGGCGACGGTGAGTACGCGGGCACGAGCAACGTGCATGGCGACAGCGAGCATGCAGGACGAACACCCCGCGTGCAAACGCAACCGACAGACAGGCAGTGGGCGGACGCACCACGTCGAGCAGGGAGAAGACAGACCGCGGAGCAGAGCGAGCGGACGATAGGCGTGGGCACGGGTGCGCCGGGCGCAGGCGAGCAGATGGCGGGCACAGGACGCAGCGACACCAAGGGCACGACCTGCACGCACGGTGACGGCGAACACGCAGGGCGAAGGCCCGCATGCAAACACACCGGAAGGTCGGTGCCCATTGGGCGCTGCGCCGTCGCGGAGTGGGGCGTCGTGAGGGCCCAAGGTGGGATGATCCCCTCCACGCATTCCGCAATCACCTGGCCCCAGCTAACTTGGCATGCACAGAACGCCGCGCCTGCGCTAAGTGCGAAGACGGATACCGATCGCCCCTCGCCCGCCCAACCCTCGCCTCCTTGCCCGCCCGACCTCTTCTCCTCACACGCCCGACCCTCGCCTCCTCACACGCCCGACCTTCGCATCCTCGCACGCCCGACCTTCGCCTCCTCGCACGCCCGACCCTTCGCCAATACCCGTACCCGCAACTCGCGAGACCCGCGGCCGCACGATCCGCGGCGCAAGCACCGTACTGACATGCAGTGTCCGTTGCGTAGGTACAGTATTGTTGGGCCAAGGTGAGTATTTCGACGAAATGTATCCCGAGTGAATTGGCCTGACCGTTCCTGGCGAGTGCAGGATACGGCGAAGCCCCAATACGTCAACATCCAGTAGGTACTGTCCCTTTCGATTGAATGTGCGCATAGCCGTATTCATAGCGGCAATCGTACTCACGCTAGTCACCTCTGTGTACGACATACTGCACGAGGTACCCGATGTGGCAGTAGTAGCTTATTAGGGCACTTAAAACTGTACTTGACTGGCTTAATGTAAGACTTCACGTGTACTTAGTGGTGGCTTAGCCGTGCTTGCTCAAGCACATTGGCTTAAAATAAGCAAATGGACCTTCTTGATTAAGCCATGGTGGCTTACTGGCTTAAGTGGCTTAATGGCTTATTTAAGCCGCATAAGCCGCCGTAAAGCAATGTGCGACTTTCCTGATGCGAGGGCGAAGGCGCGCAGGCACGGTGGTGACACAGCGCGCGAGGGGCGTAGTTGGCTAGGAATGAGCCGCACCGTCAATTGGGCACACGTGCAGTCGGCAGACGTGTAGACAGCTGTGTACACAGGCATGGGCAATGTTTGCATGCTCATAGCGTTTGGCGAGCAACACATGCATGCGGGTATCAGCTGGTTGACAAGCCGGCCATCACCAAGCAGAGGTTCTGTAATGTGAAATGGTCAGTATGCGGTCTTTCGTGAATCAAAACACAATGCAGAGGAAAGGAGAATGGTGAGGGGGCTGTAGAGTAGGGGTACCTCTGAAGCCCTCAAAGCAGACCGCGGATGCCTCACCCGGATCAAGCCCAACGCATACATCTACGCAGGTCTGCAGGGAGGAGAGGATGTCCGAAGAGTACATAGATGTAGAGCCGCCATGGGTGAATTTCAAAGGGAAGGTACTCAACTATCAAACGACATGAGCAGCATCCAACAGCGCCATGCGATGCTCCGGTGATATGGATTGACCTTGTACCAAGCGTCAGTCAGATACGCGCGGCACAGACATGTCAGACGCACTAGAGCAAAGCACTCACAATCGTATCCTTCTCAACCTAATCACTCAGCACGCCCAGCCGGTGTTTTAGACGACCAAAAGCGAGATCACAATCGCTCACAGGGTGGCGACATGTCCCACAAACACTCACGGCGCAGGGTACAGCCAGCTGTGCACGCTCGAGTCGAAGAGCACACCGCCAAAAGTGGGACCGACCACTCCGAGTCGTCATGAACTTGAGTGCGAAGAATGCCCAGAGGTCCACAGGCGGGGTTGCAGAGGGCACTGCGATCCAGTAGACGGCCGCATAGAGTCATGCAAATGCGACCACGAAGCGGTGGTCGTCAACCGAGCTGATGGCGAGGCTGTAAGTAGCATGGGAGGCCGAGCTTGGGCCGAGCCAAAAGAGCAACTCTGTGAGGACAACGAACGCGAGAACGAGACTGCGCCAGAGAGGGACCGTGGACACGACGACGACTTGGGGCACGTCCAAGTTGGCGGGTCTTGGCGGTCGGAACCCTACTATAGGGTTTCCACGTTTGCGCTCAGGCTCTCGACGCTCAACTCGGCGAAGAGTGACCGCCGCGCAAGCGGTGGCGACAGAACATGTCGAGATCGATCCACCTGTTGAGCCAGAACGTCTTTGCACTTTCGTAAACATTATCCGAGGTCCACGCGGGGTTGATCGCTGAGGTGCACTTTGGGGCGAGGTGGCACGGCCGTACAAGATCGTCGAGTTCCACAATCTCAGCAACACGACGGCGTCCTTGTGAGGCGCGTGAGATAGAATACATCTTAGTGGTTGGATCTGGCTTGTTCAGGTGCGTGAACCATTCGATGTAGGCAAGGGGGCAGGCGAAGGACCCGAACTGAGCGGGCAGCTTGAATATAGCATGGACCTGAGCGACACGAAGCCCTAAAGGTACATGACAGTAAGTGGCAGTCAGACAATGGATTGTGCACAGGCAGGACTGCGCACCTTTGAGTCCACCAGGTAGGTGAGTGTGACCGCCGGTGCTGCAGCGAACTAACGCCATGTCTTGATGTGCAGGTGCTCGTGGTTTGCGACTCCGCGACGGTGGTTCTTTCGCTGGAGTGGCTCGTATACAGAGGCGGGTAGTGTGCTCGCTGTGCCGTGGGTTGGGTGGAAGGTGAGTGTAGACCTTATTGTAGACATCGAACCTGTTGTGAACGCCAGGGACAATGCGATTCCGGGGTAGATTCTTCTTCAAGTATGTCGACAACGCCGGAAGGAAGTCGTGCGCACCATACGCTGTCTGCAACCGGGCGACTGTCGTGCCGGGGAATGGGCAGACTTTTGCCAGCCTGCGATCCTCGGCAATCGAGTTGCGAACTGCTTGAGCAACGACGCGTTCCAAAGCCTCGTCCCGCTCGCTTTCAGATTCCGAGGATTCGAGAGCATGGGTGCCAGTGGACCCGGAAATGCGAGGACGCGGTGATTGTCGTACGTGCTCATTCGAGCGAGATGGTGACGGGAGTGTGCTTCGCCAGGTGAGGTACATACTTCGACGGTAGACGGCTTCCTGCCGCCGCAACCATACCGTCATCTGCTCCTCGTAGTCTCGCCGGTTACTTGCACGGTAAGCCTCCTTTGCGTAATTGATGTGAAGTCGCTCAGGAAGTTCGGTGTTGAATCCGTCTAGCGCACCGAAGAGGCGTATGGCGTTCACGTAGTGCGTCAACATGTGGAGCTTCGGGATGTTGAAGTGCTCCCGGATCTCGAGCTCGAGGAGGACATCCTTGTGGGCGTGGAATGTAGCAAGACATTCCGCGAGGGGGTCAACGGTGTCGCTTGTGTGTAGACGCAGCTGGCTGAAGTATATGAAGTCGAGAAGCGCACAGACAATGGTGAGAACTTCTTTGCGAACAGCGCCGCTCAACAATCCCACGAAGACACGTTGCATCTCTTTGTGCTCCGTCCCTGTCCACTGCGATACCCGCGATATCCCATTCTTGAAGTGGCGAAGTCCAGGATAGCTGGCCATCGCTTGGAACCGTGCGTCCATCTCGTCTTTCCCGATTATCGACATACACCAACTGACAAGATGATCCTTGAAGATACCCTTGTGCAACTGGTGGAGAAGATCGGGCGTGATTGCTGTGAAGATGTTGGAATGGGGTAGATCGTGCCAGAAGGGGTTGTACACAGCGCGTAGGCCCTCCTCTGTGAACACCGACGGTGCGTACCCATGCTTCTGCCTCTGTAGTGCTGCGAACGTCTTCTCAGGATCACGAAGTGGAAACTCGCCAGGCTCACTGCGACGATCACCGGGAACCGTGCAGCACGGACACCGGTTCTCTCGACACCCCGTGATTAGGCACTGTTCAGGGAAATCCGCGATGTATGCCGCGACGATAGGGTATATGCGGCGCACTCCACCGTCCGAACACACCATCTCCACGCCGTCCTTGCCAGCCTTCACGAGCGGCTTGAGGAGCTCAGCCATGCAGTGGTGAAAGAGGCGATAGCCAGCGAGCGAACGCATGTCGTCAGTGAAGCAATCGAGCTTCGAGACGGGTAGGTAGCCGATTAGAATCATTGCATGTGAAGAGGACTGACGACGCTTTTCTTTCGCAATGTTGCCAATCGTCAGGTAGACAGGCCAAGCGCTCTTGTCACCGCGGAATTGGGACAGTTTGGTCTTATCCGAGGCCAGGATGATGGGTGCGACGACCGCCCCAGCGGGCAAAGTCTCCTATGCACGCAGTAGTAAGTGAACTATTGACACATGTCTACACGACAATTACTCACCTGAACCTTCCACCACCAGTCCGCCATCCACATCTCGTCAAATACTCGACAGAGGCCCTCTGGATCTCTGGATCTGCGAATGCCTGCTCCGGTGCGAGGCACATCCATTCCCTGAACATGGGATTATTGATCAGCTCTCACACGCACTGGACAGGGTCCCTCTTCCAAAGTTCGACGTCCTCGCTGAGCAGTGCACCATCGGGACCAGGGTGATTTCCATGGATTGTCACGATCTCGCAAGACCACTCCGGTCCCCGCGGAAGCTTGTCGACCTTTTTGAGGAAGCTGTAGTTGTTGTGGAATGAGAGGTTGCTCCGGTTCTTCGTCTACCAACATGTTCTCAGCCCCAGGTAAGTTGTTCTGCTCGGTTCACTACTCACGATGGGAAGTTGCAGGTATTCTTCCGTGCGTGTCTGGCCGAGGTGCTTCACCAACCACTCTGCAAGCCCCCACTCCTCTGCATCCGCAAACGGGAAGTAATCACCTTCCCCAGAAGCCTGTGTGGCATCGCGGTACGTCTCAAATTGTGTCTTCGCTTGCTTAAGGGCGTCCGCTACTGATGTTGGAAAGTCTCGGTAGTATCGACCGCATGGTGCAAAGAAGCCTTCATCTTCATCCTCGACATCCTCGACCGTAGCCCGGTATGGATTATGGGGCCGCAAATCTTCCTCGTCCTCTACCATCACTGGATCCTCCTGCATGTCATCAACATTCATTGCAGCGTCCTCGCCCACATCGCGCTGATCTCCCACAGCAGGTTCCATTGCGACATCAGGTGCAGTGTTCTCGTCGGTTTGAGGGGCGTCTTCGAACACTGAGACAGCTGGTAGGCGACGAACTTGGCGTTCCCACTTGGCACGGCAGCCAGGAGTATTCTGAACATGCTTGTTGACACCAGATGCGGTAGGCAATTGTTTACCACAAAGTCCGCAATAGTGATTCAGTGAAAGTACCATGGCAATGAGAAGACGGTGTATGGTGTCCAGATTACAATTGGCCGCAGAGCCCGGAGTCCCTCCGCCATCGCCTTCGTGCGCCGCGGCGGCCTACCAGCATGACCAGGTACGCCGTTATCACGCTGCGCTCCAAGTTGGTGCCCCTGACCCAATCTCTGCTTGCGCCATCGCCTTGGCCGGCTGCACCCAGCATTCCAGCTGCCGTCGCCATCGCTCTCTCTCCCCTACCACCACGTCAACAACCTCTTTCTCGGTCACCTGCACGTCGCGTTGTTTACGCGTCGCTGTTGAATGCGTTCAACAAAATTAGGTTTGTCGCAAACACAATGATCACGTTATGCAGCCGCAGCTTGGATATATAAGATGCGTGATGTTGCCTGTTCTATACGTCGTCAACAGAGCTCTCACTGCACTCGACTCGTACGCTCGCCCCCCTGCTCATTGCCCCAAGCCTTGTTGTGCACACTCATGCCGAAGACCCCGAAGCATCCCGTAGCTACAGCTACAACAACTGGCCGCTCATCGGGTGGCCGTGAGCGCCGCGTCACAGAAAGGGTCCAGTACCAAGGTAAGTGGTCCAACATAGCATGACACAATACTGATGGCCTGCCTTAAATTCCATTAGTTGACGAAGTCGAAGCTGCAGCGCAGCGCAAGGCAGACAAGGCCAAGAAAGTCGAGCAGGCTCGCCGTCGCGATGAGCGCCGTGCCCTTGCCAATGATATCAGCATAGACGAGATGTCTGACCACAGCAGCGTCGACCACGCTGAAGAGACGATGGTGTGTATCAACTCACAACCCTAGTATTATGCGTGCACCATACTGACAGCCCTCCAGTTCTCTGAGAGGCAGGTGATGACCAAACATGGTGCCCTGCCTGCGGAGAAAACAGTTCTCCAGTTCCGCACCAACCGCATGCCGCCGCCGGCCAAGATCAATGGTTCCTCGGTAGTCACCAAGCAATCGGCGCGTCCGCGACAAGGTCGAGTTTACTTCCAATTTTCATTGCACTGCCTATGCTTACTGATGTCTGCTCACTGCAGTGCGCGACAGCGGTGACAATGTTGGGTCCAATGCCGATGATGAAATCACCGGTGCCGAGGTGCAGAATGTCACCGCTTTCACGGCCGAAGATGATGGCTATCAACTCATCCATGTCCCTTGGCAGCGTGAGATACGTCCATCTCACGGCAAACGCGTGCGTGCGGTCGTTCCCCCCAGCAGTGACGAGGACTCGTCCAGTTCAGATGACGAGGGCGAATGAGCTCCGAAATACCAGAAAGACTCGCGTGGCTTGCGCCGCCCCAAGGCCTCGGACTTTGACGAGGTGACACAGGAAGTCCTGAATGTCGCTAACACGATCTTCAGGTGTCTTGTCGTCACCGAGGAAGCCTTCCCAGATGCCGCAACCAGTGTCCGTATGGCACAGCGCGCGTGGAAATTGGCGCGTGACAAGACACACGTCAACATCACCTTGACTCCAGACGTCCTGAAAGTTGTGAGTATTGCCTCGTTGCTCTGACAGCTGTGGATGTGGCTCATTATATCACAGATAACGCGCTGTGCTTCCCAAGTCCGCGGGGAACTCAAGACCAAGATGCGAGCGATTGTCGGGCCCTTCTATGGATTCCAAACGGGCGAGCGCTCGAAGACAATCAAGTTCAACCGCGACCTTGCCGACAAACTGAAAGAGGAGTATCTCTTTGTGTACCAGGTTCGTGTTTGTGTGTTTACTCTGACCTCTATTCACCCGGTGGCCCACAGGACATTGAGAAGCGACGAGGCTTGTACAAGACCGAGCTACTTCAGCTCGCCATCAATGTCATGTGGTTTGCGAAGTCCACTGACGAAGGTGTCGTCTACTATGAATACTTCCACCCAATCCCGAAGATTACCATGGCATTGATTCTTACCGTGGTACGTGTCTTTAGACATTGTAGATACATCGCTGATCATCAAGCAGGCGGAGAACTGTATCGACGAATATCGGACTGGCATCCGAACAGATGTCTCGTTTACCGCACAAGACTACGAGGGTGTCTTCAACAATCACTTCAAGTGTCTCACTGACTTTGGCATCTTCACGGCTGAGAAGCAGCTTCTGTTCAACATACGCCATCGACTCCATGACACGGCTAGGTGAGTCACAGCAAGTTATGTTCACTGCGCCACTGTACTGCAGACTTATAGCTGCTGAATAGATTCCACGCTGGTGCTGCCACCCTGTCTCAGTCCGCTACCCGCGCGGTTCCGGATAGTGCATTTGCAGCAGCACTTGCCGAGGCCAATGAGCCGGGATCGGAGACCGAGCCGGAAAGCGAGCGCAATGGTGTGGGTGACTCCGAGGATGATTAGTACTGAATGCTCGTATTGTGACCTAATAATGATGCCTTGACTATTTGTAATGAAAGATTGATTAATTTCACACTCCGCTTATTCTACGCTGTGAATGGTCTGTCGGCTTTGTGATACAAACCTCTATGTTGGCTACAAAGTTTCGGGCTACATGAAGCTATATTCTATGCCTGCAAGCTATGAAGGGTACCGTGCAATATGAACTTCACGAGTATGCTATGGATTTCTACAGAAAGGGGGGGTAAGCTACGGGTCTATGCTTACTACATGGGGTCAATAGCTCCATATAACCACCCCGCTTTTTCCTGATGCGATTCCGAGTGCGCACCGAAGGACACTAACTACGATGCCGCCCCACTCCTCGGCCTCCACGCAAGGCAACCCCCTCCTTCCAACCCGCGACTCGACCTCCCTCTTCGAAACCATCCTTAGTACGAAACCACTTCCACCAGGGACACTCAACTGGCCCCTCGCCTCCCAGGTCCTCTGCGCACCCGGGGCCCTCCTCACGCAACTTGAGCGTGATGGTTTCATCAACGACGACCCCAACGTTGTTCTCGATGCAATGGACACACTGACTGACCTCTATGAGGCAGCGGCGGACGTTTGGGTCCAGCAGGACCTCCTCGAGGACGCCATCCATCTCTTCATATCCCGACGAGATGCCTCCGCGCGACGACTCCTCCGACGTTTCAAGGAGCTCGAAGACTACTCCGCGGTCAAACAAGCCGCTCGCTACCTGATCCCCATCAACGATATCACCTACTCTCGCGACTTCATCGTAGCCCCCACTTTCCCGAATGTCGACGCACGCGACCTTGCTCGCATGATCACCAACTACTCCCCGTGCATCGTCTGCCAGGGCACCGATGCTGATTACCACTGAACCATCGACTGCTCTCACTACCGCTGCCCCCGATGCAATCGTCGCCAGCCGGGACATACCGAGGCCCTCTGTTCAGCTTCCGAAGCTGAAGCACCCACGTTCCCACCGGACCTGCGATCCCTGAACAACCTGATGCGTGGAGGCATCTTCACGCAGTCCGTCGCCCACCGCTGGCTGATGGAAGCCAACCACATCTACTCCGTGCTCAGCGGTCTCATCACCTCCCGACCAACCAAATTCCTCCCTCCTACCCTACGCGGCAAACGGATCGGATTTGAGCAGGCCAATAGGTGGTATGTGGTCCGGAATGGTCGCATCGACGGCATCTTTGTCAGCCTTACCCGTGCCACGGTCCTGGCCATGCAAGTTGAGGCAGCAATGATCTCTGTATACGAATCCCGCGAAGAGGCCCGTCGAGCCGGCGACTCCATGCATGACGAGGACCATCCTTTCCTCGACGAAACCTACCTGCTCGGCGCCCGTCCTCCTCGTAGCGAACGACGTGCAAATACCGGAGTCCGACCCCCGACCCCTCATCCTCGACCATACCTCGGCGGGATCCTTACCTCGCCTGGACTCACGGACGTGGACCTGGATTCCCCGGTCGACGATGATGGCAGAAGAAACCTCGTCATCCAGACGTTGGAGCCCTCCTTCGGCCTTTTGGAGGAAAACGACGAGAATGTGCCAGTCCGGTCAATCCCGACGCGCGAGGCCCCGCCTCGCCCCCCTCACCTAATTCACCCCGAGCTGGTACGTCAACCCCTGGCGGACTTCACTCAGGGCCTGGAACAGGTCCCTCTCCGCCAACTCGCTACCACTCCTATGTCATCCTTCCAACCCTCACCCACGATCGCCTCACCGGTATCGGGCACATTTGAGCTCCAGCATACCGATACTGGAGAAGTCGACGCCGTCATCCACCGTCATCGTGACGGGTCCACCACCATTCAGAATGCTCCGCCGCCGCCGCCTTATTCTTAGAAGATTGACGAGGTCGTCGACCCTAGGAAGGGGCTTATGTTACGTCAACGTTTGTTTTCCCTTATTTGCACTTGAGCATTGTACTATCCTAGCATGGGCCCAACCCCATGACGCTATGGTTCCAGTCTTCGGACTCCTTCGCTGTTTGCTCCGGTCCAACCCGGAGCAGTTCATGTGATCTCTGACTCAGTATGACTCGTCCCTTACTCATACCTGACTCATCATTTATGACTCAATCCCTGACTCGTCATGACTCACTCCCCCGCGCTTCTATTGGCTAGGTAGTTGTGACTTGTTCAGGACCTGCCCTGAACTCCCCATATATATAAGACCTGTGTACAGTAGCGGTCGAACCTCAGTTCGACCTGGTTATCTATTGAAGCTTCACCAGCTCCTTGGATATCAGAAACTCCCCGCTCGACCTGCTAGACGGACTTAGCAGCGTCTTCGACCATCCTCCCCATCCAAGGACGATTAGAACCTAAGGTCCCTACATTTAGGGTTAGGTTGAGAGCTAGTGCTCTAGGTGTCACGCTTCGCGTAACAACGCCCTAGAATGTAACAGTCTCTCCTCTCGTCTTAACGCCTCTGGAGTCTGAGTCTTCCCTCTCAGCTCTTAAGAGATCTGTTGTAAGTCCTCCTTTACTACAGTGCTCTTTGTGCTCCTGTAGTATTCTTCTGTAGCCTTGCCTCAGGCTAGCCACAACACTCCTTGTTCATCAGACTGTTGCTTCTTGATGATCAGGCGGCCTTTCTGGCTTATTGGGGTCGGCAGCAGCCCTAGCACGCGTTTGTGGAGGCATCACAGCCCTTAGGGAAGTGTTCCGAGATGCACAGAGGAAGCTAGGTAGCGTCACCTGTTGAACTTCCGAGTTTTCAGTGTTCTTATCTTATCAGTTATGTACGGATATGGACTTATGTTCTGCGATGTCAGATTACATACATTCTTTGATGGACTTTGCCTAGATTACGTCATGTGACTTTAGTCCGGATCATTCCATGATATTCCACGACATTCCTTGATGTTCCATGACGTTCCATATCATTCCTTGATGTCCCATCACGTCCTATATCACTCTTTGATGTTCCATCATGTCTCATATTATTCCTGATGTTCCATCACGTTTCATGTATCTCTCCACATCAAACTCCGAGTTTTGGCTTACTCATGCTGCTTACCAGCTTACTCATATCCCCAAAACCTCGGACTTAGTGCTTACTGATGAACCACTGATACAGCATGTGACCTGTATCAAATGTGTATATATACTAGGCTGGTTTGCCCTGTAATGATAACGATCCTTCGTCCTCTCCTCTGCCTGCCAGCATAGGATCTTCCCTTTGGGACTGGTCTGTTCACTCACTCATTAGTCCTTCACTGCCACTGGGCTTACTAAGCCTAAAACCTCTTTCTTCAACAGGTTATGAGCCCTGCGCTCTGATTCTTTAATCACCTGCACCCCTCTTTGCGCGCTCCAAAGCCCAACTCTTGAAAGAGTGAGTTGGCAATTTTTGTCCTTTGTTGGACTATTTTTAAGTCGCTGCATGACATAGTGCCGAAGGCCTTGTCTGAGCGCATCTCTAGGGCAGCCCGAAAAGGCAATTACGAAATTTATCATCTGTCTCGTCGTGAGAGAAACGACGTTGACGAAGACGACTCTAACGTCATCGCCGTACGTCATCGGCATTTGTACGGTCATCTACCCGTCCGTCGCCAGATCGACATCATCCTCGCTCCTACCCCTCGTCGTCGCCGCCAAGCCTCTGGCCGCGTAGACACGTCCATTCCTCCCAAGGAGTCCTGCCGCACCTCGCCGGAGCAGCACCTCTTGTATTTGCAGAAGAAAGCGGACGTTGCCGAAGCTCTCGCCGAGACACGCCGAGCCAAACTCGCTGCTGCTCGTGCCGCTAGTGCCGCTGCTGCCGAGACCAAGGCTTCGCTCATTGAGCGTCTTAGCGGAGAAACTCCCATCGTTCCCACGGCTCTAAAGCCTATCTTCCTGTCCGACTTCCGCAAGAAGTCCACCGCTGACAAAGTCGAGATCCTGTGCAAGCGTCTCCTTGCTGTCCAGAAGCGCCTTCAGCCCCTCTATCGCCACCGTAACCGCCTCTACGCCCGTCTTCCCTTGTTGGATAACTTGGACGATTTTGGCAGGCGTTTCAACTGGGTGCTGACGAATATCGAGGAGGAAGGAACCACGTGGTCTGCAGTCGAATTGAACGACATCTGTTCTGTCTGCGAGCTGATTGCGAAGATTTCCTTCATAAATCTTAGCCAGAATTTCGGCCGCATAATCAAGGACGTAGGGGACTTGTACAAGAACAACTACTTGTACTGGGTAGATAAGCGATTGTAGTCGCATTTTTTCTGTATATCTTCGTCCCTAGAATTTAAGCATCACATTGTGGCTTCGTCTCAAGAAGAGACATTTGACCGAGACTCAAATAGTGAAGCATCGAACGGAGTAATTCCACCGTACGATTGCACCGACCATCATCATCTCTACGACTACGAGGAGAACTTCGATTATCATTTCGACGTCGAAGAAGATCAGTGGATTAACTGCGACGACGCTAGTTGCCCACATCGCTACGATCAACCTCTAGGTCCAGTTCCAGAAGGATTTTCAACTGGAATATCGGTCGCTCCTTGGCAGGAGAATTTCCTATTTGCTAGTGAATTTTCGGAGTTACC